CCTCCAAGAGAGCTATGCCATGTCACAAATAGTATTTTTAAGGCAGAAATAAAGAAATGAATAAACAAAAAAAAATTTAAAAATCAGCACACCAAATCAATATATTGGAAAAGTCTACACACATGCAAGGTACAACACCTGTAGACCTCCAATCTATACTAAGGGGTGGGTTGGGAATGTCATTTTATTTGTCTTCTTTCAAGCCATACCCATTCTTTATAATTTTTTGACATTCCCTTTCGATTTTGTGTGTGTAGTTGTTTGTTATATTTGCATTGTTGCAGTGATATCTATCGTTTTCTTGGCTCTGCTTTACTCTGCATCAGTTCACATAGATCTTTCCATGCTTCTCTGTATTCATCACATTCATCCTTTCCTACATGTACTACAGTTTGTTTAGCCATTCCCCAATTGATGGGCATCTACTTTGTTTCCAATTCTTTGCCATCACAAAAAGTGCTGCTATAAATATGTTGGTGTATATGAGGACTTTCCATTTATCAGTGGCTTCCTTGGGGTAAAGCCTAGTAATGGAGTCTCTGGTTCAAAGGGTATGAACACTTTAGTCATTTTATTTGAATAATTTCATATTGCTTTCCAAAATGATTGTACCAATTCACAGGTCTACCAATAATGCATCAGGTTCCTATCTTCCCACAACCCCTCTTACATTGACATCTTTGCTAATTTTCAGGGTGTGAGGTGAAACATCATGATTGTTTTGATTTGTATTTCTCTTACTATTTGTAATTTGGAGCATTCTTTTGTGTGGTTGTTAAAAGTTTGCAATTTTTATTTTCAGAACTGTTTGTTCATATCCTTTGACTTCTTATCTATTGGGAAATGGCTACTGGTCTTAACATCTTATATACATGTTATTAGTATACCAGAGAAATTTGACACAAAGGTTTTTTTTTTCCCATTTGACCACTTCCCTTCTTATCACAGATGCATTAATTTTGTCTGTGCAGAAGCTTTTTGGTTCCATGTAATTTATCTTTTGCACTTGCCTCTATCCTTTATTTCATTAAAAATACATCTCCTACCCTGTGAGAGGTATATGAGCTGCTTCTCTTCTGATATTTTTTGTAGTATGATCTTTAATATTAAAGTTGTGTATTCATTTAGAATGCATTGTGGAATATGGTTTAAGGTATTGGTCTAAGCATAATTTTGGCCAGACTGCATTCCAGTTTCCCTAGTAGTTTTTATCAAACATAGACTTCTTTTCTAAGTAATTTATGTTTGCTGCTTTATCAAACAGTGCATTATTGAGATTCATTATTTCTTATTCTCCCTTGTCTAGTCTGTTCCATTGATCTATCTATAAATAACAAATAATTCCAGTGACTGCTGCTTTATAATATGGTCTGAGTTCTGGAAGTGTTATTCTCCCTTTCTCTCTACCTCTTTTCATGATTTCCCTTGATATTATAGATCTTTTTCTAAATGAATTTTGTTATTTTATCTTTTGATAATTTGGTTTGTATAGCAATAAAGGCGTAAATTAACTTTTGTGGTATCATCATTCTTATTATATCGGCACAGCCCAGAAATGAGCACTAAATATTCCTCCAGCTATTTTTGTTGTTTATTTTTTTTAAGGAGCACTTTTTGCAATTGAATCTATAAAAGTCTTTTGTGCACTTTGGTAGCTTGATCCTCAGATATTTTATGTATTCTGTAGTTATATGGAATGGGATTTCCCTTTCTATTATGGCCTCTTGGATTTTGTTATTTTATATAGAGATGTGGGTGATTTTTGCAGATTTATTTTGTAGACTGAATCTTTGCTAAAGCTATTATTGTCTTAATCAGTATCTCTGCAGATTCCCTAGGATTTTCCAATTATACTATATTATATATCCAAGTATACTAGAATATCATCATCAAATAGGTATTTTTTCTCTTCTTTACCTATCTTTTAAATTTCTTTCTCTTGTCTTATTATTATTGCTAGCATTTCCAAAAATGTATCAAATAATAGCAGAGAGTGGGCCTTCCTGCTTTACTCCTGTTTTTACTGGGAAAAGTTGTAATATATTCTCATTGCATATGATGCTTGCTTTTGGTTTTAAATAGATGCTTTTTATATTAAAAAAGGACCCTCTATACCTGTACTTTATACAGATTACAGCATAAATGAGTGTTGTACTTTGTCAAAGGTGTTTTCCCCATCTATTGGGTTTGAGATGTTGTTAATATGTTCAATTATGTTGACTGTTTTCTTAATGTTGAACCATCCTTGCACCCCTGGAATAATTTACAACGTGGTCATAATGAATGATTTTTTGGTATAACTTGCTGCAGTCAAAATCTGACAAGATTTTATCTAAAATTTTTAATAGATTATTAATGATATGGGTCTGTAGTTTTATTTCTGTGTTTTATCCTTCCCTGATTTAGGTATTAGTACTGTATTTGTCTCATAAAGAGATTCTGGCAGGTGCTTTCTCCATTTTTGAGAATAATGTGTATTGTATAGAGGTACTGGCTATTCTTTAAAAGTTGGTATAATTCTCCTGGGAATCCATCAGAATTAGAAATTTTTTTTCTTTCATAGTTCCTTTAAAGCTAGTTCTGCTTCCTTTTTTGAGATTGGGTTATTTAGGATCTTTATTTAGTCTTCTGTCAATTTGAGTAGTTTCTATTTTTTTAAGTCGCTCCTCTATTCATTTTGTGTTCTCTTTTTTGTTAACAAATAACTGTGCATAACAGGTTCCAATTATTCTTTTTTATTTCTTCTGTTTTTGTTGTGATTTCACCTTGCTCATTTGTTAGTTTATTGATTTGATTTTCTTCCTCTTCTTAGATAAAAGTTTTAATGGCTTTCACTAGATTTTATTAGTTTTTCCCAAAAAAACAGCTTTTGGTTTTAGTTATCATTTCTATGGGGTTTTTTTCCTTCCAGTTTATCTATTTCTCCTCTAATTTTTAATCTCTCCTCTGTTATTGGCTCTCTAGTTTTTTAATAATGAATATTCAGTGCATTAATTCTCTCTTTTTTATTTTGTAAGTGTATGTTTAAAGAGATACAATTTTTCCACTGAGGAATGCTTTAGCTGCATCCTAGAAATTTTGACATGTTGTTTCATCGTTATAATTTTCTTTTATATCATTATGAATTGTAGGATTTCACTGTTAAGTCTCCATTTGGGTTTGTGTGTTTTCTTTGTGGTGTCAGTGATATTTATGGACACAAATTTTTGTTAGAACACACTTTTGTAAGAACCTCTAATTCGTTCTGATTATTATAAGACCCCAACAAATGTTTTTTTTAAAAGTTTACCTTACTTGTATTCATGCCTTTTGTTTTTATATTGCATCCATTTCTGAATGTATCACTCCCCAATAAGCTTATGCATTATAACAAAGATTTAAAGAGGAAAAAAAGCAGTTCAGCCAAACTAACCAACACATCATCTGAGTCTGATACTATGTGCAATGTTCTATGCCTATAATTTTCGAAGAAGGGAGGGAAATTAATTTCTTTGGTGCCAAGCTTGTTCATTATCTAGGTTGGTTTTTTTTGTTTGTTTGTTTGTTTTAGGCAATTGGGGTTAAGTGACTTGCCCAGAGTCACACAGCTAGTAAGTGTCAAGTGTTTGGTCTGAGGCCGGATTTGAACTCAGGTCCTCCTGACTTCAGGGCCGGTGCTCTATCCACTGCACCACCTAGCTGCCCCTCATTATCTAGGTTTTCATGGTACTATTCTCTCCTGGTTTTCCTCCTACCTGCCTGCCCACTCCTTCTTAAGTTTCCTTTGCTGGATCTTTATCCAGGTCACACTCACTAACCAATGGTATCCCTCAAGGTTCTTTCCTGGCTACTCTTCTCTTCTCCCTCCCCAGAGTCACCCTTCCCTCCTCTGACACTGCCAACACCTGGTGTAGGCCCCCATCACCTCACACTTGAAATACATACAATATCCTTCTTGATCAAGCTCCCTGCTTTAGGTCTCTCCCACTACATGCTCCACTCAGATGTCTAAGTTATATTCCAAAAGTACAATTCTGAGCCTTCCCCTTCAATAAGCTCCAGTGGCCACCAATTACCTCCAAAATTACATATAAAATCCTGTGTTCAAAGTCCTTTACAACCTTGGCCCTTCCTACCTTTCCAGACTTCTTATACTTTACCTTCTTCCCCACTCTTTCCCCATACTCTGTGATCTAGCAATACCGGTCATCCTGCTATTCCTCACACTCAACACACTCTCACTCTCTCTCTGAACTCTGTGCCTTTTCATTAACTGTCCCCTCTGCCTAGAATGCTCTTCCTCTTCCCTCATCTCAACTTCCTGGTTTCCTCCAAGGCTTAGCAGAAATACCAAGTTTGCAAAAGACCTTTGGTTGTCCATTTCACCCTAAACTCTGCCCTCTCCACCATTAAGTTTCTTTTTCCTGGTATGTTCTCTCCTATATATATACACACACATTTATGTCTACAGGTATGTGTATATATGTTAGGTATATACATGTTATCTATGTGTATGCACAATTTTTGGCATGTTGTCTCTCCCATTAAAAAACATGAACTTCTTGATGGCATGAGCTATTTTTATCTGCCTTTGTATCCCCAGCACTTAGCACGGGGCCTGGCACACAGTAAATACTTAACCTAATTTTCAAGGAGTCTTTTGAATAGATAAGATTTTGTATCTTTTGTATTTTTTGTACCTTTACTAATATTCTTTCCAAGTCTTTCCTCCATAGCTCTTATTTCTTTTCTAATTCTCTCCTCTAACATTCCCATTTAATTTGCAAAATCATTTTAAAACTTTAAAAAAAAAACCCCTTGCTTTATTTCTTCAAGGAATTCTAGTTGAACACATGCCCAAGCTGTGTTTTTCTTTGACGTCTTTCTCATAGATGTTTTGGAGTAATTCTCTTCTTTGGGGTTTGTCTTTTGGACGTCCTCAACACCATAATAGCTCTTTATACTGAGATTCTATTTTTTGTTTGTTTGCTCATTCTTCTAGCCTTACTTCCTGACATGGACTTTGCATTACGGGCCAGCCTTTGCACGCATCTAGAGGGAAAATCTGCCTGTGATTGTTCCTGTTTTCCTGGATCCTGCCGCTGCTTTCTCCAAGTATTCAAAGATCTCAGGGACAGCTCAGCCTGAGAATCTGTAAGTTTTCAGTGTCCCTGAAGTGGTCCGATCCAGAGCTCAGTCTGATTACTGCCTTCCTGGTCTTAACTGTGCTCGCTCCTGAGCTAGGTTGGAGTCTGAGGAACATAACTCTGGGCTTGCCTCTGGTAACAGAATGTTGCTGGATTCAACCACTGTCAGCTACTGGAAGGCCCTGCAGGTTCAGGGCAGCAGAACTGCAGGCTCCCCTTCAGTCTAAGCGCTTTGCCCTAATCATTCTGCTGCAGACTTCAGGCTGGGCTGAGGATTGGATCTGTAAGCCCCATGCACTCCTGGAGCAAGCCACACGGCTGCTGGTCTCTTCCGTTCCTGCTTATTGCTAAGTACAAAGCCTTGGACTGTGTCCCTTCCTTGTACTGCTACTCCTAGCATATACCCGTGTTGGTACTAGATTAGTGGTCCAGCTTTGGGGGATGAGAAACGGAGCTGCCAGCTGGCCCCTGCCCTCTGCAGTGTCATGGCATTCTGTACTGAATCTGATTTCGTGCCCTTGTACACAGATGCAGGTCCTCATTCAGTCCACATACTGGAAGCACCTATGTAGTTCCCTCCTGGCTAAACCATGTCCCTAGTATCCAAAGACCTCTCTATCCATCTCCCTATGCCACCCTTGACTGGAAAAATGACTCACTGTGATTGTTTTCTTGGATTTCCCACTAGTCCCTCATTAGTCTAGTGTATTTTTTAGATCTTTTTCTTTTTCTTTTTTTTTAAGCTAGGCAATGGGGTTAAGTGACTTGCCCAGGATCACACAGCTAGTAAGTGTTATGTGTCTGAGGCCACATTTGAACTCAGGTCCTCCTGAATCCAGGGCCGGTGCTCTATCACACTGAGCCACCTAGCTGTCCCCTATTTTTTAGATCTTTATGAAGTAGTTATGAAGGGGAGCTGGACTTTACTCTTTCCTTTTACTCTGCCATCTTTGCTTGCTTCAATCTGCATTAGTTTGTAAGTATTACCATGTTTTTCCAAATTCTTCATATTCATTATTAAAAATTATTTTTTCAACTATCAAGCATTTATTTTTTCTCCACCCTACCTCTCCAGAAAAAAAGAAAAACAAAGTCCTTATAACTAATATGCATAGTCAAACAAAACAAATTCCTCTAGTATCCATGTCCAAAACTGTGTCTTATTTTGAATTCAGTTCATTAACTGTCTGTCAGAATACAGGTAGCATTCTTTATCATAAGTCCTCTGGAATCATGGTCATGTTTATCGTTTCTTACAGCACAGTAATATTCCATTAATTCATGCTTAACCATTTTCCAATCAGTGGTCAGTAACTTTGTTTCCAGTTCCTGCTATCCTAAAAAGTGTGGCTGTGAATATTTAGATATATACAAGTCCTTTCTGTCTTTGACTTCTTTGGAGTACATAAACCAGCAGTTTTTCACTGTTCTTAGAAATTCTCATGTTAGCTAGCTGGTTACTTTCCAAATCTCTCCCTCTTCAATTAGAATCAGGAAAGTCATCTACCGAAACAAGCCCAGGAACTATATGAACACAATTACAAAACACTTTTCACACAAATAAAGTCAGATCTAAATAATTGGAAAAACATCAGTTGCTCGTGGGTAGGCTGAGCTAATATAATAAAAATGACAATTCTACCTAAGCTAATTTACTTATTCAGTGCCAAACCAATCAAACTACCAAAAAATTATTTTATAGAGCTAGAAAAAATAATAACAAGATTCATTTGGAACAACAAAAGGTCCAGAATATCAAGGGAACTAATGAAAAGAAATGCAGGGGAAGGTGGCCTAGCCATTCCAGATCTTAAATTGTATTATAAAGCAACAATCATCAAAACTACTTGGTATTGGCTAAGAAATAGAGTGATGGATCAGTGGAATAGGTTAAATACGCAAGACACAGTAGTCAATGACTGTACTAATCTACTATTTGATAAAACCCAAAGACCCCAGCTTCTGGGATAAGAACTCACTATTTGACAAAAACTGCTGGGAAAACTGGAAAAGAGTATGGCAGAAACTAGGCATAGACCAACATCTCATACTCTATACCAAAATAAAGTCAAAATGGGTTCATGATTTAGATATAAAGGCTGATACTATAAGCAAACTGGGAAAGCAAGGAATAGTTTACCTATTAGATTTATGAAGAACAGAAGAATTCATGACCAAATAGGAGATAGAGAACATTATGAAATGCAAAATGGATAATTTTGATTACATTAAATTGAAAACTTTTTGCACAAAGCCAATGCAACCAAGATTAAGAGGGAAGCAGAAAACTGAGAATTTTTATAACCAGTGTCTCTGATAAAGGCCTCATTTCTAAAATATATAGAGAACTAAGTGAAATTTATAATAATACAAGTTATTCCCCAATAGATAAATGGTCAAAGGATATGAACAGGCAGTTCTCAGATGAAGAAATTAAAGCCATCTATAGTCATATGAAAAAATGCTCTACATCACTATTGATTAGAGAAATGCAAATCAAAACAACTCTGAGGTACCACATCACACCTATCAGATTGGCCAACATGACAAAACAGGTAAATGATAAATGTTGGAGAAGATGTGGGAAAATTGGAACACTAATGCATTGCTGATGGAGTTGTGAAATGATCCAACCATTTTGGAGAGCAATTTGGAACTATACCTAAAGGGCTATAAAAATGTGCATACCCTTTGACTCAACAATAGCACCTCTAGGGCTGTATCCCAAAGAAATCATAAAAATGGGGAAAAGACCTACATGTACAAAAATTATTTATAGCAGTTCTTTTTGTGGTGGCAAAGAATTGGAAATTGAGAGGATGATGCCCATCAATTGGGAAATGGCTGAACAAGTTGTGGTACATGAATATGATGGAATGCTATTGTGCTGTAAGAAATGATGAGCAGTCAGACTTCAGAAAAACCTTGAAAGACTTGTATGGACTGATGCTGAGGGAAGTGAGCAGAACCAGGATTTGAATGTTGTACACAATAACGGCCACGTTGTGCGATGACTAACTTTGATAGACTTAGCCCTTCTTAGCAATACAAGGATCTAAGACATCTCTAAAAGTCTCATGATGGAAAATGCTATCCACATCCAAAGAAAGAACTATGGAGTTTGAATGCAGATAGAAACATACTATTTGCTATTTTTTTTCTTCTGTTTTGTTTTGTTTCCTCTTTCCTGTGGTTCCCCCTATTGGTTCTAATTTTTCCTTACAACATGTTAAGTAGAAATGTATATGTAAAGCCTATATCAGATTGCATGCTGTCTTGGTGGGGTGAAGGGAAGGGGAGAAAAATTTTAAACTAAAAAGCTTATGGAAGTGATGGTTGATAAATCAAAATAAATTAACAGAGAAAATTAAAAAAAAAAAGAATCAGGAAAGTCTTCAGGTTTTTTGACCAGGACTTCCTAATCCTTCACAATGTTTTCTAGGCTTCTTCTGATGACATCATTTGGCCCACATGAATTGACAGAAGTGGGTAGTGACTGTTAAACTGGACCACTGTTAGGAGGCTGTCTATCTCATTATGGAGACATGCCCCAAAGAGGGAAGAGACATCTCTGTTATTTATGTAAGTCTACAAATAAGCCTGTTCCTGACTTCTTAAGATTATTTTCAATGTTACTTCATTAAATCCCTATTTTTAAAAATTGAGATTTTATTTATCTTAATGATATTTATTTAATAACCTCGTGGCAGAAATCAGACTATTCATCCATATATACCGCTCTGCAGAGTTCTCTTGCGTTGATTACTACAATAACCTTCAAATTGGTCTGTCTCCTCCAAGTCCCTCCTTCTTCCGATGATTAATTGCTGTCAGATTAATCTTCCTAAAGCACTTATCTAATTATCCCTCTCCCACTCAAAAATTTCAGTGGCTTTCTGTTATCCGCAAAAAAGTACAAATTTCTCAATAATGGTATTTACAATCCCTCATGATACCTTGACTTCTCTTTTGAACCCAGTGCTCCACTATTGCTTATATGTGTGCTATACACCAGCCCAATTAGATTACTCATTCATTTCCTTGCTTTTGTGCTTTTCTTCTCCACATCCCAAACTTTTCTCAAGCAGTTCTCTACAACTGGAATGCTTTCCTGCTACAGCTCCATCTGTCAAAATCCAATGTTTCCTTCAGGACTCAAATCAAATGCCCCTTTCCTTGATGAGCTAGAAAGGCTCTGTACTATGAACCCCATCAAAATTTGTGTGGTCCTTTCATGCTTCAAATCTATGGTCCTTTTTTATACAACTTACGAATCATAACTGTAGAGCTTGAAGAGTCCTTCAAGGTCATTTAGTACAATGTCTTCATTTTATAAAGAAGAAACAGAGGCTCAGAAAGCTTGTCACTAGCCCTAGGTCACACAGAGAAATTAAGTGACTTACTAGTAAATGGCAGAGCAGGAAAATGAGTCCAGATTCTATGGGCTCCAAATCTAGAACTCTTTTCACTACGCCACAACATACGGACAGAATTACCACATCTTACCTTGTTTGTGTACTCTTATTCCCTCACTTGACTATAAATTCTTTGAGAACAGGGTAAGAATAGAATACAACACATAATTACTTCTGTATCACCCACAGAGACTGGCAAAGGGTTTTGCATTAAGTATGTGCTCAATAAATATTTGTTGAATTGATTGATACTATAACTTTTGATGTGTATGTCAATTTCCCAACTAGATTGTAAGCCTTTGTGAGGGCAAAGATTGCCCTTAAAGTTCCCTTGATTTCCTTGTATAGATGCTCCCTGATATGTTTGCTTAGAATGAATATGGTTTTAGGAAAATTCAATTAATCATGTCTTTAAGAGTCTTATCTGTTAGAGATAAGAATGTTGAAGGGGTATATTGGGACTTGTGTTTGTTTTGAGGCCTATAACTTTATCTAGGTGTAAACTGCTTGGTACTCTTCCTTTTTGTTTCTAAGCCTGACAATCTTGATTCCTATTAATCTGGTAAAAACCCTGCATCTAAACAAAAGAAAAAAAAAGAGTATATCCTCCTCTGTATTCTCATGGGGCCTAGCACAATACTTTGCACACACAAAAAAAACACCCTCAATAAATATTCAATTCTAAATATTTCTGTCTCCTGGCCAATTTTCCAAGGAAGCAATAAAATCTTTTGAGTTTACCTAAGAGACATGTCAAAATAAAGCTATACTTGGGATTGGTTCAGGGTGTTGGCTGGTAGAATAAAAAGGAATGGCCACTTACCTTTGCTTCTGGTGTATTGGCTGCTGCCTCATCGCCATGTATTGTGTGTCTTCCTGTAATCGATTCAGTGGTGAGTCTGGCTTTAGACGAATCCCATAATAATGATATTTGGAATTCCCCCTAGGAAGAAAACATTTACTATCCAGATATCTTTACTGTTTAAATGAATTTCTGTCTGTTCAATAATAGATAATTAACAAACAATAGTAACAATAATAACTTTTACATAGAGCTTTAAGGTTTGCAAAGCACTTTACATATTAAAATCATAAAAAAATTAGGAAGGGAGTGGTATGCAGTGGCCATCTCCTCCATCCCTCTTGCCTCCAGTTAGGTTCAATCAAGAATCCTGGGTAGACTATGCCTGCTATTTCTCCTGTTCTTAAAATTATCTAAGGAATTCTAGAATTCTTCTCAGCAATCCATTGCTTATCTAATTTCCTAGTTAATTCAGGCAAAAGATAATGTCAAAGACATTTTAAACTATTTGACAAGTCAATTAAGTCAACATTATCAACATAAGAGATAAGATGTATAAGAAGTGAAAAATCAAAATAGTTAAATGTTTGAATATAGCAAGATACATACATGAATATATCAGTGTCTTAGGAATCCTGTCCCCTAGTTCCCTTCCCAAATGGGGCCCACTCTGAAAGCCAAGAGCAATGGAAAACAGGGCAAGCCTGGGATCTCCTTGCTGCCAAAAATCCCCTTTGCATCATGGTGAATCAAGTATGTGTCCAATAGAATACTGGAAAAAAGGAAGAAAAAAGGGAACCAAAGCAAAACCCTAAAGTGTCACCTGGGAAGATGGAGGCAGGACACCCTTAAAAGACCCTGTGGCACCACTACAGGAGAAAGTTGGAGGAGCTGAAAGGGATGGAGAGGGGCAATATCATGGTGTGGGCCTCAAGTCCAATGGTTGCAGTATCACCTGGAGACTTCAATTTGATCACTTCTGTTACCACTTGTTTTTTTTGTCTTTTTTTATAATACTTTCCTTTTCTAGTTCCTTCTTTTCCTGTATCTTCCATGTTTTAGAGAAGTTAACTGCTGCAAGTTTAAGATGATAGCAATGCAAAGAAAGACTAGATTTTCTTCTTCCAGGATCTGTGATATCATCAGTGTGGCTATCCTCTCTCCACTGATGCAGACAACAGTCCCTCCACACCTCAAGAAGTCAAAGTCATTAAGAATCACTGTAGCTGAAAAAATTCCTAAGGCCCCAGTAATTAACCGCTAGGATGATTCATCCAGGATGGTCATTGGACAACAGAATGCCAAGGCTGCTGCTGGACCTATACCTGAAAACCCTGGGCTATTTTCATGCTACTCTGAGGCATCAGAGGAAGACTTCAGTGGAGGGCTTTGTGACTATGATAACTAAAACCATCCCCTGACTTCCTGTGACAACGATTCAAAGAAAACCACAGGTGTTTAAAACGTAATGCTTTGTGAATAAACACTGACATCCATTTTAGTTGTAGTTCAGACAATAAGCAGATATATAGAATACCAGTGATGTTGAACCTGCCCTACCCATGAAATCACAGGTAGGAGTAAAAAAACAAACAAACAAAAAACCATACTACCACAATACTTAGCCTTGGCAGCAAAATTTATTTTATTTTAAAGAAATGCTTATCTTTTCCAGGTAAGAACCTGTGGATGGGGATAGAAGCATTTAATAGAAAATTCCTGGTTTAATATAACCCTTATGGCAATGAAGACTAAGGGACTGCACCAGTAAAACGGCCTATCCCAAGAAGAATCAAGAAGCATTAAAACTGAATGAAGTGCAGAAGCGAAGGATGATCTAAATGTCAAAAAGGACAGGGTTTTAGGAGTTGGGGTTTAAATTCCCTTTTTGAAATCAACTCCTGCAGAGTCCAAAATGGTATATAACTGTTAAATGATACCACAATACTGCACCTGAGCTAATACCATCACAGCTCTTATTGCTAGCTCATGTAATCCCTAGTGTGCCAATAAGCTTGAATCAAGGAGGGGTTAGTTCTAATTTGGGAAGAATATCTATGCAGGGGATAGAAGCCTCACAGCAACTAAGATACCTGTCTGCATAAGGGGAAAAAGGAGTTGAAAGAAGTCAGATATATAGCCAATCAAATTCCTTTGTACTAACCTTGTTCCCAACCTTCGGGTCCTCAGCCCCACAAACACAGACCGAATTAGTTTTCCAAAGGAAGCAGCATTCACAGGATCTAGTTTGTGTTCCTGGCAGTGCCGAAGATAATGGTTGTAAAGAGAACTTCTTGGGAGGCTCACACCTTCAGCAGTTTCATAATTATCAAGGAGCCACTGGAGCTAAAGAAATGATGTTACGTATATATTACTAAAAATATTGGAAATAATAGTTAAGTAGGCATACTTTTAAAATTGTTTTTACTTAATTGCTAATAAACTTAATCAGGAGATCCATCTGTGGTATGATCTGTATTCAAAACACTCTAACAAAGATAATCATTTACCTGAATTTTTCTTCTCCTTCAGTATATAAAATCTGAATTTGAATGAGAGCTAACCATCAGGATCTGTTCTCCATTCAATTACTTAAAAGGAAATTAAAGCCATATTTTTTGAAGACTAACCTTTCTAATCTTATTGGAATAAGTTCCAATGCTAAAAGAACATAAAATATAGATATGCAGAAGCAAGAAAGATTAACAAGAACCTAAATATTTTGCTTCCTCTATTAAACTCTTACTGCTTTCCCAGTCTCCGTCCATGCTAGTGCCTTCCCTCAGAGATTGTCTACAATTTATCCTGTACTTACCTTGCTTTTACATAGTTTGCAATGTCTCCCATATTACATTAGAGCTCCTTGAAGGCAGGGACTGTTTGACTTTCTTTGTATCCCTGGGGCTTAGCACGGAGCATAGGTGCTTAATAAAAATGTTTGTAAATGTGGCATGCCCAGAGTTCTCCAACCTTAAAAAGCCTTTGCTTGATCCTACCATCTGTCTCTCCTCTCTTTCACAGCCAAACTCCTAGAAAAAGCTGTCACCACTAGCTGTCTCCACATTCTCATCTCCCAATCAGTGAGGTGGCACAGTAGATAGAGAGCTGGTCCTAATCCAGCCCCAGACATTTACTAGCTGTGTGACCCTGGGCAAGTCACTTAATCTCCGTCTGCTGCAATTTCCTCAACTGTAAATTGGGGATCATAACAGCACCTATTTCCTAGGGTTATTGTTAGGATGAAAAGACATAATATTTGTAAAGTGCTTGATACATTGCCTGGCATACAGTAGGTGCTTAATAAATGCTCATTCCCTCTCTCCTAAGCACTTTTCAACCACTAACAGTCTGGCTTCTGACACCAC